TCTTCTGCAGAAACAAGGAAATACTCCCTTTGGGAAAGAACTAAAGTTTTCTCTTTCATAAATTCCTCAAACTACTTATTTAAGCATGTTGACACAAGTTAGTATCATTCTCACCTAGCATAAAGAAGAAACTGAGGAACAAAGAGTTGATCTGGTTTGACAAAGGTCATGGGAAATTAAATTTATTTGTATTTAAGAGTGAGTAGGTTTTGGACCGGTTGTCATTTTATTTATGCCCTTTTTGACAGACTGTCCAAACCTATTAGAGTATACTCATTGTTTATAAAGCACAATGAAATATCAAAGTGGTATAAAAGTGTTCATGTATAAAAATGCATAAAAATATTGCTATTAATTTTGATAATTATTTATCTAATGCACTTTGCATACACTATGATCTGATCTTCTTAAAATGCTTTGATTGGAGGTCCATCAATTAAAGGAATAAAGAATAAATGTGAAGGAGTTGAATCACAGAATACTGAAAAGCTTGAAACAAAACCAGATCCTACGAAAATGCAGTTGCTTGGACAGAGAAACCACTAAAAGTTTGTACTTTGTGATCCCTACTGCACTGTCATATTACAGATGGTGACAAGAACAAAAAGAGGAACAGGAGACTTGGTTTTTGCAACAATGAAAAAAAGAGAAAAAAAGAAATGTTTTGAGGTACTCAAAGTAATATACACCAGGAAAGAACAGTGCATGGGATTCCCTGGACTTCTAAGTGCATGGAGTTTAATGTACACTCCTCAGCCTTGCTTAACTTCTCTTTCAGTATAAGCTCCTGAAGTACCAGTAGCTTTCCAAACAATAACTTTGTGAGTTCTATTTTCCACAGGCCAAATTAAAATTTAACTAAGAACATAAGTCTTAGAAATATTATTCACACTAGGCATTTTGTAACAGATTTTACAAAGCATTAAATATTTACATGAAAAATTAGCAATTTGCACTATAAGGACGAGTTATACTGTTCTGCAAATGAGTACAGTTGCACATTATGTGGTTTACAACATATTAATTGCAGTGTTCAGCTACTAATTTCAAGCTTGAGGGAAATCTCTAAGAAGCAAATGCAAGATTTTGTTGGACTAAATTGCATTTTGGGACAAGGCAGTCATGAGAACATGTTCTTAGTAAATTACTTGATACAGCTGCTATAGCTGAAGTACTGCCAAGAACAAGCTGTATATTGTAAATCTTGAAGACATGTTATTGAAAATATATGCTCACCCCAATGTACTAAAACATGAAATACAAACTTCTGTCATAAAATTCCTAGTTTATCAACAAGAATTTAGTTGCCATGTGTACTGTTAACAGAGTTTTTCTCACTTTTGCAGCAGATTTGGTTAATGGGTATTTTCATTTATGCATACTCACAGTAACACTAATGAAAGAAAAAATGAAATATTGCTGCAGAGTAAAGAAGACCCTACTCACCCACCATCTCTGGGGAATGGGCTACATTCTTCTGAAGGCAAGTTAGATCCTGCCCCTCTCCACGAGTGTCCTCATCAGTTCAAGCACTTACAAGCAGATGAGCATTTGTTCATGGCCTGCAGTGTGCTGCAGTGCTCATTTCTGTCAAGCTGGGACTTCTCACACTTCAATATAAACATTGCTACAACATAAACAGTCACAGTGGCTTCTTCAGAGTAACAGGAGAAAAATGGTCATTTCTACAATGTGACTCACCTGGGATACTTGTCTACCTTAAGATGACACAAAATCATGCCTTTGACCGGCTCTATCCACTGAACACAAAGAAATTCTAGACCAGCTCGGAGGCAGAAGTCTTCATGGCTGGTATCTAAAATCAGATGAACCTGTAGATCCCACTTCTAAAACCAGTAGGATTCATTGGCTTGGCCTGTAAGTGCTCTAAGATAGGGTGAAATACAGCAGATTTTTACCTGCCTGAATTTTCATGTGAAATCCTGCAGCTCTTATTCATGACCTCACTGTAAATCTTGAGTACCTTAAGCCTGCATTGCAGTATTGCTCTCTAATAAAATTCATGGTTCTCCAGAATGTATAAAGCTTTTCCCCAATATTCAGACATGATTCTGTTTCATCCAGAAAAGTGTGAGAAAATATTGAACAAAGATTTATTTGTGGATTTTCTTGCTGTATTCTCTTCTCTTCAGAACATCTTAAGCCCTTTTATATCTTTTAGTGAAATACATTTGGAGGTACAGAAAGGAGAATGTCTGAGATAACAGATTCTACTCACTGTATCTCATAATTCAAGCTTGAGAAATACTCAGGGAAAAAATATATAAAAGCAATACTTCTTCATAGCAGGTCTTGTTTAGATGTTGAAGCTGCTGCTACAGAAACTGAATTGCTGAGCTCAAAAAATTTCAAGAAACAATAAATAGGTAGCAAGACTATCTTGTTATCTTAATAATTCACAAATGAATCTGGAAATACTTCCTCATCAAAGTTATATCAATCTTTTTTATTAGAAACCAAAAGAAGAACTATATAAGATGAAAATTATCTGTTACCTACTGCAGATGCTCTGAAACATCTGGCATGAATCACAGTTAGTCACAGCAGACAAAATACTTGGCCTTGAATCTAATCAAGTATGAAAAGACCCTTGTTCGTTCTTTGAAACTTTTTTTTGTATTAGTGTTGCTAGCAAATGAAAGTATTTTATCACATTAGTCTTCCAAGTAAGAGCAGCCAATGGTTCCCAGTGAAATACCAACATGTTCATACAATGCATCACAAAGATATATTGAGTCTGATACATTTAATTTTTTTAAAAGAGAATAATATATTTGGTATTGTGCTCATTTTGAATACTACATTGCTTGTCACACTACATTTGGTAATAGACCTCTTCAAATATATTTAACAAATTGTTCCATGAGTAATAACTACATATAAAATATATTCGTTGAAATAAAAAATCCATATGTATTTTCTTAATTAAATACAATATATACATTACGATCTGATTGGTTTAAGGTAAGCCAAATTTTGGGCTTAAACAAATTCACAGTGTACATTTTACCTCTGTAATAAAAATCTTTACAAGTGCCTGGATCTTAAACTGTGTTCATGTACTTCTTTTCAGTGAGTTTATGGAGAGTGAAGGTTTACCATCACCTAGCACTAGAGCAGGTCCAAACTGCACATTACAATGACCAAAAATAAAGACTCCTGATTACCAAAAGCAAATGTCGACTGTCCCTGTTACCTCAAATTCTGACCAACAGATTTTCCAAGGAGCTTGTCACAGGCAGAAGATATGCTTTGAGCAGCGCGGCCTCTAACACAGTCATTCAATGGTGCTGAACTAACTGCTCACTGCTTTGGAAAACCAGGCCCAAAATACTCAAGTGGGAACTCAAAATCAGTGGCCAGTCCTGCCCAAGGGAGATGGCCAGGAACTGTCCAGGAGCCAAAAGGCAGTGAAGTTATGGTCACATTGCCTTCCAGTCTGAGGTCACACCAACTGCCCATGCTCTACTACCTTTGAAAACCTCACTTTCTTTCTTCTCTTTCAGAGGAAGAAGCCTTGGGAGTTTATAAACCCTGAGTTCATTACACCTGGAGCCCAAGGACACCGATTGTCCCACATGCTCCACTGGGTGGCTAAACTAACGTGCCAAGCAGTTCCCCTACACTGTGACAAACAACCTCAGGACAGGCTGACTTCAGACCTTTGCCTCCACCTGTCTCCATGTGATTTCAAAACCCGTTCTAATACACATTTGGGGTTTTTTTCCCTGAAAATACACAGTGATTCCTCCAGAAATTATTTTAAAAAGGACTATCAGTAAATTCAGCTGGAAACTAATCTAAACTCATTAAAAAATAACCTCAGCCTAAAAGGGAGAGGCAGAAACATTCTGATACATTCCACAATAAATAAATTTCACAAAGCTAATTTTAAAGCAATTTCTGATATTTCCATCCTTGTTTCTTAAACATACAAGTCTTTTACAGGTGCATTCTTACACCTTAATGTCCCTGTCACAGTTTTTCACAACCCTTTCACTAATCTCAACCAAGCTGAAAGAGAAGAGAGATGCCCAATATAATATATGTTTATAACCGTCACAGAATCAGTGAGAAATACAAATTACTGTATTAACTGAGGAAAAAATTATCTGGAATTTATGCTGTATCTACCTGGAGAGAGAGAAACTAGCTGACTGTCCTGCATGGACATATTAGTGACACAACTAACAGCCAGAGACAGACACCTCATCTCCAGTTTAACAGAAAGGGACATAGAAGTATTGCAGTTGGCAGGGTGAAAGCACTAGAGGCTTCTGCTGATGGCATGGAGATTCTTCTTTGGAGTCCTAAAGAACACAGCACAAGGACTGAGCTTTCTCCAGTGGAAAAAAGGATAAGGGATGCAAAGAAGATGAGATTTTATGAACTTTTGAAACAAGATGCTTTTGTTTGCTATGGAGAGATCTGAAGAAAATGTTATGATTTAAACAAGTTTAACTATGGGGAAACATGGTCCCCCATGCATGCTACCACCAGAATTCAGAGAGGGGTTTCACCTAACATTTTAGTATCTTCTACCTTAAATAAAATTGTTACATTCAACCCCCCACCCTGCAGTTTGGGAGGTTCGGGTCAAGACATAAAAGCTGGAGAATTTGGGAATTCTGAAAGAGGTTAGAACATCAATGATTAAATATTATGGATTAAAAAAATTTTTTTTCTGGTCTCAGTAATAGCTTTTCAATAAACTTGGTGAAAAATACTTATTTATAAATGCACTGACTCCCATTGGAACCTAGGGATCTGTCAGGATAGTCCAGTCCAGCAGTGACAGGGATAAGTTGGGAGAAGTATAATACGGTGCTATGCATGTCTTGATAATTTACCTCTGCGTGGAAACATTCCTAAATTATTTTAATATCCCATCCATTTTTAAGAACCCAACCCCCCCCCCAAGTTGGGAATGCTGGAAAAATTAATAGTTTTTGAGATATATATATATATATAGATATATACATATATATATGTAAAAGCGTGGAATTTTTCTCTTTTGCTTCACTAAAATATATGTAAGAATCTTTACAAATGGAAATTTTCAAAAAATAAACAGAAACAGTAATGTAGGAAAATTTTAGATTTATGCTTTTAATCTTTCATGACTGGCCTTATCAAGATTCCACTGGAATTCTAAAAGAGGTAAATTGAGTATTTAAATTATCTCAAATTAACTCTTTTTCAGCAAGTAAAGAATAAATATCTTTATGGAAGTGGCATCCTCTCCCTACTGTAGACCCACAGGATTTGTCACTGTGTTTTTTCGATAAAGAATTGGAATGATTTAATTTCTGAATCTTCTGTATAAACGTGAGCTAGACTTGAGAAAAACAGAAATATGGCTTTAAGTGAATTGCTAACATTCTGTTGCATCTCTTAAACATTTCGGTTATCTCTTGCTTTCTTCTTCCTTAGAGTCAATTGACAGTTTTTCCCCAAGTTTCCTTATAAGTTCTGCCAGATCTTCAGAATTTTGAGATTTTTCCTCAAGGAGTTCATACCGGAGACTTGAGATGTCCTGTTTAATTTCCTTCAGTTCACCTGTAACAGATGTTAGAAGATCATACTATTAAAAAACAAAATAAAAAACCACCATATCCAAATATCTCACAATTATCACAGGTTTTCTTTGTATTTCTTTGTTGAAACAGAAAAAGCAGATGCTCTGTTGCCTGTTGGTGAATGGTGGCTTACAGACAGGAATATGAAGATGCAGTTCAGGAATCAAACAAATCTGAAGGCAAAAGTGTAAGAGGCCACATCAGTTCACAAAACTCACATGATCTCTTATATGGAAGCTGCTGTTCTGCTGCAAGAGACATCACAGAATCATAGAATCACAGAATCATTTAGGTTGGAAAAGACCTCTAAGATCACCGAGTCTAATCATTAGCACGGCACTGCCAAGCCCACCCCTAAACCTTGCCCCTAAGCACCACGTCTACATGTCTTTCAAATAATTCCAGGGATGGTGACTCAACCACTTCCCTGGACAGCCTGTTTGAATACTTCACAACCCTTTCTGTAAAGATATTTTTCCTAATGTCCAATCTAAATCTCTCCCTGACACTATTTGCTCTTGTCCTGTAACTTGTTACTTGGGAAAAGAGTCCAACCACCACCTCACTACGTCCTCCTTTCGGGTAGTTGTAGTGAGTGATAAGGTCTACCTTTGAGCCTCCTTTTCTCCAGGTTAACATCCTCAGTTCCCTCAGCCGCTCCCCATCAGATTTGTTCTCCAGACCCTTCACCAGCTCCATTGCCCTTTTTTGGACATGCTCCAGCACCTCAATGTCTTTCTTGTAGTGGGGGGCTCAAAACTGAACATAGGATTCAGGGTGCAGCCTCACCAGTGCTGAGTACAGGGGGACAATCACTGCCCTGGTCCTGCTGGCCACACTATTGCTGATACAGGTCAGGATGCCATTGGCCTTCTTGGCCACCTGGGCACACTGCTGGCTCATGTTCAGCCCATATTGACTGACACCACCAGGTCCTTTTCTGCAGATCAGGCAGATTGGGGTTGCCTGAGTCCTCTTGGGCAGCAACAAAGCCTCTCATTGTCCAAAAGAGAGCCGTCCTCTCCTTTTCCTACTGCACTAAGTATCTTTCTAGCATCAGAGAGGTGCAAACAGACAAGAACATCCCTGTGAAGTGCATTTACTAGCTGCTTCCAGCTAATAAATCACACACAAAAAAAGCTGAAGCATGTGCATCCCCATATATGAATTCACAATAAGAACACATACCAACACAAATGAAAATTCATACGGGAATGCCTCAAATCAACTGCTGCATTAAATGCAGTCTCACCATGGGAAATGCCTTGCGCATCACAGCAGCCTTCCCATGTCCAAAGGGAGTCTACAAGAAAGCTGGAGAGGGATGTTTTACAAGGGCATGCAGTGACAGCATGAGAGGGAATGGTTTCAAACTGAAAGAGGGTAGGTTTAGATTGGATATTATGAAGGAATTCTTTCCTGTGAGGGTGGTGAGGCACTGGAACAGGTTGCCCAGAGAAGTTGCTGATGTCCCATCCCTGTAAGTGATCAAGGTCAGGTTGGATGGGGTTTTAAGTGACCTGGTCTACTGGAAGGTGTCCCTGCCCATGGCAAGGGAGTTGGAAGTAGATGATCCTTAAGGAACTTGATGATCCTTAAGGTCCCTTCCAATACAAATGATTCCATGTTTCTATTATTACTAGAAGTAGCAACACTTTTGACAACTTGTCAGATCACTGATAGTTTCTGATGGGAGACAAGAGACAGGAATCCCATCTCTTCTTTAACTTCAATTTCATGGTAATTTTATATCTAGCACTTGTAAACATGTTGAGTGATTTAAGTATTTTGGAAACATTTTTTTTTGAGTGGGATATGTAACCACTTTAGTTTGTCTTGATTCTCTGATTAAACATACAATTCATCAACATACTCACCTTCATTGACTTCATCACTTTCCTTATCTATCTGAGCTTTCAATACATATCTTTTAATGAGACGTTTCATTATTTTCTAAAGAGAAGAAAGAAAGAAAAAAGTTTTCTTTGTTGGACTAGTATTGTTATGACATTTCAAAATATGAGCTCTCGTCCTGCTTTCAGCTGGGACAGAGTTCATTTTCTTTTTACTAGTTGGTACAGTGTGATTTTGATTTAATTATGAGAATAATATTGATAACTCACTGGTGTATTAGTTGTTGCTGAACAGTGCTTACCCTAAGTCAAGGACTTTTAAGTGTCTCATGCTCTGCCAGTAAGGAGGTGCACAAGAAGCAGGAAGGGAGCATGGCCAGGATAGCTGACTCAAACAGGCTAAAGGGATATTCCATACCACAGAATGTTATGTTCAGTATACAAACTGGGGGGAGCTGGCCTTAAATGGCCAATCACTGCGCTCTCTCTCTCTGTCTCTCCTTTTCACTACTACAACTACTACTATTATTATTATTATATTTTACTTTATTTAAATTAATAAAGCTTTCTTATCTCAACCCTCAAGTTTTACCTTTTACAATTCTCCTCCTCATCCCATGGGGTTCTGGGGGTGGTATGGGGAGAGTGACTGAGCAGTACTTAGTTGACAGCTGGGGTTAAAGTACAACAGCTCTGTTACCTTCTGTTGCATTCAGATATTTCAGTGTAGGACTTGACAGGTTAAAGAAATAGAATGTAAAAATCTCTACTTTCATCTATAGTAGATATTTAAACTTTATGATTCTGCACATGTATGTAGCTGAAAAATAGAAAACTAAAACCATTTTACAAATGTCAGAATTCACAAAGCTTAACTTACTTAACTGGAGTCTATAGGAATGATCAATATAGTTGTAGCTTTGATCTCCACATAGGTGACACTATCTGACCTTTACTGCTACCACAAGGTGACAATGACCCTGTTTAGCAGTGCTAATTGCTAAAAAAAATTGCTAATTGCTAAAAAATTGCCTTTTGTCATCAGTTTATTGTAAACTATTTTGATATTATTTTAATAAGTTATGTTTTCCCAATGTTGGGCTGAGAGAAAAAGGGACCCACAATTCTAAGAGTCATTTAGATTAAGTCTAAAGAGTCAGCTGGGACTCATCTAATCAAATACTCTCTCATGCAAATACACATATCTGTCACCTTTAATTCCTTCTATGGATAAAGAGAGCAAACCTGAGAGCACAGTTTACCTCAGACAACTAAAATGGATCAAATAGATCACACCATGAGAATGACTAACCTCTCTGCTAATAATAAGAGGAACCTAGGGCAACAAATTTATTGTAAATTTTACCCTTCCAGGAAAAAAGAATTCTGCCCCTGATTCTCCCATTAGTTCAAATGACTTGAAAAAGAACAAGGTATCCAAACACCTTTTAGGAGCTGTATTTCTGTCTTTGGGTTTAATATTTTCATATGGTGTAGTCCATGACAGCAAAATACTTTATGTTTTTCACTATAAGATATAAAATGTACATAGATTTATGTATCTGCTTTTGTCTGCACTGTAATAAAACCAGCCAGAGCTGGTTGTGAAGTGAGTCATCCCAGATTAGTTGTTCCAGACCATCACTACAGTCATGCTTGCAAGGTCAGCAGCTGTACTGTTTATTCTAATAATCCAAGAATGTTTCAAATAGAAAGCCACACATCTTCATGTTTATGGGGTAAAATTTTAATCTTAATATCTATCATTGCATCCTAATGAAATTGGCTGTGAAAAAGTGAGGCAGTTTTTGGAACAGACTTGTGCAGACACTGTATAACATAAGAATGGAGCAGATCTAGCCTGCCCAGGGGCAAGAGCTTTTTTTCTGTCTTATGGTCAATAAAGTATACTTGTTTTCTATACCCTTTTCATTCAGATTGTCATGTTCTATTTACCAGGCAGCTCTTGCTTCTTCCTTTCCACCTGCTGTATAGTATTTTAGGAAGGAAAGTAGCAGTCTCTGGATCAGAATAGCTGGCCCTTTGGTGGACTGTGCTGGGTCTCTTTATACTTAACTGCGCAAATGCTCACTGCTGTTGTTTAGAAGGCAAAGAAAAAACAGACTGTATCGACAGCATAAAGGCTGACAGATATTTGCAGTGCTTGAAGTATTTGTATACAGAGGTGTGGAACAATAACCTGAGCTGCTTCAGCAGATATAATAGGAAGTTGTTGAGGGTTTTTTTGGTTTTCTCAATTCCCATTGTACATTGAAGACTCATCCTGTCTCTAAAATTAAAAACATTTCTCAAGCACTTTAAAATATTACACTATAAGGGTAGCATTTAAGAAACAGAGAGGAGAGAAAAACACCCCCAGATTGTACTGCAAATACCTACATCATTACATTTATTTGGTATATATACAAGGCCTGCGAATTTATTCCTGACTGATGTTGTTTAGCATAAATTCAAAACTGTCCTCAAGACATCACTCTGCCAGTTCTACTACTTCTTGATTTTGTTCAAAAATAAACTGATTTTTACCTGGTATTGTCTTGGAGGATTGTTTAAACTGTTTAAGTGAATTTCATCTGAGCTTCTTATACTTGATTGCTTCCTTTGACCAAGCTGAAATGGAAAGATTATTTATAATTCAAAATAAATAAAAGAAAAATACAGATATATCGCGTATGTGTCGTGCATACATACATCATGTGACAGAACAATAACTGTTAAGTTCAACTGGGAAATGTTAATTTGTTGTGGTAAAGTACTCATACATGTACAGAATTTCAATACAAGAGTGAAAAAAACCACTTTCAGACTGTGCTGTAGTAAAGTAAGAACTGGTAGATTTTCTCTATTTACTCTGCCTCTCACCTGCTCCTAACATGTCCAAGGGACCATAATAGAGTGGCTATGTCACTCTGGGCTTTCTCCTGCTCCTCTGATGCACAGGAGGGGGAATCCACATCAGGAGGAAGGCAGTACTGGTGTGGCACAGCCTTGTAGGCAACCGATGAGGGAATATCAGGGCAGGTGTGTGAGAAGCCAAGGAAAGAGGGTTGGCAGCATTATCCCTTTCCTTTTTTTTTTCATAGCACTTGCCTGTAATTAATGTGACCTCCATTACCACAAAATACACAAGGAGTTTGCTTCTCCCCTCACTGGCTGAATGTAATTGCTTATGCAGTTCATGCCAGGGACAACAAGATTATCAGCTGACATTTTTGAGTTGCATCTTCTTTACTACACATGCTGAAAGGGCATAAATCCCCGATGAAACATGGAGGATACAATTTGTAGGCTTCATTATTGATTTACGTCTTTGAGAAGGACTAAAGAATCACAAAATGGTGAACTGAGACTCAAGTCGAATGACTGGGCCGCAGTAAGAGTGAACAGCAACTGTCAAAACAAATATTATTACTTTACATAAATAACAGGGCCAGTTCAACAAGTAGTGCTAGAAATATAAAGATTGTGAAATATAAATAGTGATTGATCTTGATGAGGAATAAGTGGGACTGAGAAAGTCTGAAATTTTACATGGTCCAATAAAATTTTTACTGTTTTAAAGGACCAGACAATCATTGCAGTGTCTCAGATCCTGTGGGATTTTGTTGTACTTCCAGGGAAATTCTCTATGTTGTGTCTTAACACACAGAGCACCTACAGATAAGCAAACTGGAGCATTTTGAAGCCTGTTAAGCACTATGTGCTGGGATGTGCTGGGATATAATTCATTAAAGAGGAAAGCAGGGAAGGGTTAGATGCTTATGCAGCTGTACACTGGGAATAATTTAAATACTTTTAGATTTTGTTTAGCATTTCATAGAATCAAAGAATGGTTTATGTTGGAATGGATATTTAAAGACCATGTAGTCCAGCCCCCCTGCCATGGGCAGGGACACCTTCCACTAGATCAGGTTTGTATTTTGATATTTTTTCCTGAAGAAAAGTTCATACCTATTGGTAAAACACATTTATTTGCAATTAATATAAAGTTTACAATGAACTTGGATTGTTTTCTTTAGAAAGATTCACAAATTGTATGCACATCCTTGTAAAAAACATTATCCCTCTATTCAGACTATGTTTATTTGACTAAGCAAAAATAATGATAGAAGATACATAATAATATAAATATAAAATTAATATTTGTCTTACATATTAATCTACATTTGGATGGAAATTAAATAGAATATGTATAAAAAAAAAAGTTATTTTTGCTTTTTCTCGCTTGAATAAAGCTACTTTAAATGTTTTGAATATATATTAGAAAACATAAGTTTATCTAAACATTGATACTTAAACTAGCTATCTGATTTATGATAAAAAGGAATGGCTAGTGAGTTTACACAACTGTTTAATCAGTAGGTCTTTCAGGATTTTAGAACTATTAATACTGTCCTGGGCCTCACTTTTACTACTGGGTTAAAAGAGAAAAACAATCTTCCTGCTATTTCATCCCCTGGATTTCTCATGCACTATTTCTGGAAATAATATAGTAGAGTAAGAGGAAAAGCATACTTTCTTTGCAGTAGCAGAGGGAAGTTTCCTTGGGTAAATCTGCCCTAGGCCATTAGCTTGGGCTACAGTTGTGTGGCTGGTGTCCCAGCATTCCTGGATCTCTGACTTTGCAGCTATGATATCATTCATGATCCTGTTACTGACCAGTTTATGTATAATCTACAGATTCATTTATTTTTTATAAATTTTTAGTATTTACTATGCATTTTATTATATATTTTAAAAGTAATCTGTCATGCTGGTTACCAGTTTCAAATTTATATTACACTGGTTCACTTCAAAAGTTAATCAAATGCTTAACTACAACTTCATTTTCACTTGAAATAGCAAAACTGGTATTATGTGGCAAAATCGGTTAAGTGAGATACTGCAAATTTGTAAAATCAGGCATGCCATAACAAATTTATCTTAACTTTTACCCTTCAGCACTTTTTTTGGAAAGAGTTATGTACCTAGCTAGAGAGTGCACCTTAAAGTTGGCTGGTAAATCATAAGTGTGTAACTTCTTTAAATCTGCTTATATGTAACACTAACAGGACAGAATATCTACTGTTTGTTGCTGAATGACCACTTGGTGGCAGAGATTGCCAAGATTTCATCATAATGTCAAGTAATATTTTTAAATTCTCTTTCATTTTTATGCCTATGGTTTTTTTTTTCCCCAAAATTACTACTAGAGTACATTCAACTTGTCATACTGATAACTGAACTAGAATTCATATTTTCAAGTTAACATTTTTTGAACATGAGTGATCAAGGGGGAAATAATGTAAATTAAATAAAACAATGATACAAACCCCCAAAAATAACTCATCTCCTTTATGATCTCAGAGGTTCCTTCCAATCCAGCTGATTCTATGATTCTATGATTCTATGCAGCACATGTGCATCATTCCTCTTAGAAAACACCTTTGTCTTTAAACTTTCTTCTCATTTCATCATTCTCTAGTATTACTTAAAATTGAATGCAATCAGAATAGGAATGTAATTATTGTAGCTGTTTTGTTTACCACTCTGTTAATGTCTTAAATCCCAGTTTTCAGAAGCAGGTGATGATTTGGAATGCCAAAAAACTGTACATGCTTGGACCAGAAGGGAGTGTTCACAGAAAATCACTCAGTTTGTGCTCCCATAACCTAAGGCCACCCACGAACATTTCAGAAACATTGTTTTGCACTAGGAAAGTAAAAGTTCACATATTTTTCTTATTTAAATGGAGGTTTAAAGTAGTTTCAATAAATAGTTGTCCCTTATTTTTTTTCCTGAAGGGCCATGTTTCAAGAACAAGGTTTAAATACATCATCTGCAACTACTGTTTTTTAGCTCAGGAAGATGAACAATTTCTGTGACTCTTAAACAATAAACTTTCTCAATTGCAAGGCAATTTTAAAATTTAGAATAAAAATCAAAGCACATTTCTTTAAAACTCTCCTTTTTCTTCATTTATTTCTCTCTGGTTTTGGTTTGATTTTCTTGTTCACTGTATGTTTAAAACTCCAATTCTAGCCTGAAACAAGAAATCTACAAGTTTTAATCAACAGCCTGAAAGAAAACATCTTCACAGCTTTTCATATTATATACAGATATGTCTCAAGAAATTAACTTCTAGTGTGCTACACTTTGAACACAGCTATGTAAATTACTTGCTGTTTAGCACTGACAGCATCTGGCTTTGTTTTGTGCCAACAATAATCAGGGCAGAGCTGGCTCCAGGAGCAGAATTTCCCCCCTTCCAATCCTAATTCTTGTCTTCACACTCACTCTGAAGCTGCTGGTGCTTTTGCACTGAGAAGATGCTGGCTGTGCAGCAGAAAGACCCACAGGCTGAATCTGAATCAGTAAACTCAAGTGTGTGTTAACATTATTGGGCTCTGCAATGCAATGTCTTCTATCAATAAACTTTTACTCTCCTCCCAGGTAGGACTTGCCTCAGAACAGCTTTCTACCTTCCTAGGCAGTTTGGCAACAGGAATGGTCTGAAGACAAGAGCTTGCAGCAACCCTTTGCAAGGAAAACTACTTAAATAGGGGCAAGCCATTCCTGAATTAGCCTCAACGCCCAGATAAGCTACCCTTCACATTTCGCTAGCACAAGCACAGCCATTAAGTCTAGGGTCTTGGGTCTGGTCTTGTCAAATCTTTTCTTATCTTTGCACAGCTCATTGCGTTTTAGTAGCTCCTTGCTCAGCAGTCACAGCAGCACCAACACACTCAGCACTGAATGAGTCCCAAGTCAAAATCCAAAAGTCTGAGAATGCCTTTGAAAAGATGCCATTAACTGGCCTCAACAACAACGAATTATCAACAGTGGGTCAAAAAGTAACACAAAAGTATTTTAGTTACTTTTTAGAAGTGCACAGGATGGTAGCATCTCATAGATTCAGGTAAAGTCATCTCCACAGCATGTAGTGGTCCAAAAAGTAAGTAAAAATGTAATCATCTGGCAATAGCAGTCACCCTGCTGCAAAAGCTGGTGAATGAATAAATGCAACTCAGATGCTTTATGTTTTTCAACATAAAAGCTTTCTTTTTTTTATTTGATTTGCAGTTTTATAGCTGCTTTGGCTGGGGAGTAAGCACATTTCATTTAGGATTAGTTACACTAAAATCTGCAGTGAGTGTAAAGCATTAATATTTGAAGACTAAAATTTAATTCAGGGCTAGGAAAAAATCTGATAAACGATGTTTACATCCTTACAGCTCTCTTTCAGAGGGACAGCCATAAAAGCTGATACACCTGTTACTGTTTTATCTAGAACTGGTAATTATTACACTTTGCATCCTTCTAGCAATCTGAATTCCTAGATTTGAAAGGAGTGATAAAAATACAACTTCTTTCCTTAGGGTGTATAAATGAGATTTTTAAGAGTATCTGTTTTAAAGAACACAAATTTCATGCTGAAAAGTCACTAAAACAAGCATTTAACTTACTTATGTGATTTTCAAAATCGCAAGTGAATTAGAAAAGAGCCATTTGTTGTTTCTCACCATCACTCAATGTTAAGTTTATATGTATCTTATTTGCATGATTTTTCGGTGATGACTTTATCACTCACAGAGGTTTTAAAATCAAGTTTAGTAAATGTCAGTCATTAAAAACCTGAGCAAATGAAGTATCGCCTCTGTCAGGTCTTAAATACATTAAGATTAGATTTCCCAAGTAAAATGAAGTGAGATCTGTGAAATACTAGAGAAATTACCAATAGTACACATGAGACATTTGAAGTTTATAACAATCTTGACTTTGGTAACAGTGTTTGTAATACCTGTGTTTGTTTTCATAAACTATTATAAACTTAACCAGAGGCAGAGGCTTGTCAGAGGCACAGTATTTTTCCTAAAACTCCATTTTTTCCACCTAGGATTGCAACCAGTTTTTCTCTTCTATTCTTCAACTCTGTGTTAGAAAATGTGCTTGTCACACTGGTGACAGAGAACTGACAGACACACATAAATTCTTTACTGTTCTCTAGTCTAATGGCTAATGACTCTTGACTACAGACTCAAGAACTCGTAACATTGAACAGGCCTCTACTCAGACTACCACACATTTTAACAAAGATCCTTCCACATTTAAATTTCCACAGAAGACAATTTTGTTTCTGCTACCATGACAAATTTTAACCTTCTTTTTCTTTGTATGCTCACCCTTCCACTTGCTCCATCTGATCAGCTGTCTTGCACGGTTCTTTTTCCCTAACATGTTATAATAGTGCTAGAATAGTGCTAGTCTTTAAATTTCCAATATCACCTAACATTCCATATTCTCCTAAAGCAATTAGGATTGATTTATGCCAAGACAGTGCAGGAAAAATACACTGACTACAACCTCCTTAAGCAAGCCCAGTGAATCGACTCAAGCTCTTTTTACTGCACTTGTGTAAATAAAACAGATAAAAAAAATGCTTTACTATAAAAGTAGGCTGCATTTTCAGTGGAAGCAGAGACAGGCTATCAAGGGGAATTTAGAAACTGTCCAGGCATGTGAGGGTGGTGTTAGGAAAGACAAAGCTTGTCTCAAACTGACATTTGGAAGGGTAATAAGAAGAACTTCTACTGCTACAATAACAATGTAAGGAGAACAAGGAAAATGTGGGCCTGTTGCTCAGTGGGAAAGCAGATTTAAGCAACAGTGGATGACAGTAAGACTGAGGGAATTGATGCCTTCTTTGCCTCAGGCTTCAGCAACAGTCTCTCAGGCCTCTGTGGTCAGTGAAGGGATTCGAGGGGATAGGGCTTACTTGAGAAAACTTGACCCAGGCAAGTCCCTTGGACCCAAAGGGCTGCATCCACAGGTGCTGAGAGAACAGATGAACCCCTTGCAAATATGGAATCATCTATGAAAAAACATGGATATTGGGAGAGGTCCCAAAAGGCTGAAGAAAGACAAATGTCAAACCCATCTTCAAAAAAGGTCAAAATTATGATCTGAGCAAACATGGGCACTCAACCTTCCTTGAGTCACTGGCTGGAATGAATAACGAATCCTCTTGGAATACGTAAAAGGACAGATGGTGACTGGAAAAAGTAGGTGTGAATTTATGAAAAGTAACATCTGTCTGACCATCTAGATGGCATTCTGAGATAAAATGACTTGCAGATAAAGGGAGAGCTGGAGATGTCTTCTGACCTGACTTTAGCAAGGGTTTTAACATCGTATTCTAGAATATTCTTGTACCCACGTCAGTGACTGACTTCAGTATGGATGAAGTATATTGAGAAATTCATGAGTAAAACAGGGCAACAACAAAAATGAAGTTAAAATTATTTTTATGTTTTAAAATTAGCAGTCAATATACACAGGACAAAATTACCTTGTTCATCTCCGCATCTTCCTGAAAGTTTTTCTTTTGGCACAGAAATGGTTTAGAAATACACTTTTTGATTCTGATTAGGAGATACAGCAAAGATTTTGGGCTTGGCACTAAGTTGAAGGGTACTGGAAGAGTTCTCCCTTCTTCAAAGTAAGAAAACCAAAGTTTAGCCCTTGCAAATTTCCATTCTACATCAGCATCATCCTGTAAAATGGAAACACAGCTGTTAATACACTGTTAATGCCACTTTGACTATTAAAGATGCTCTAGTTAAACTTTACGTGTGTTTTGAATGTAATGGCTGAAGTTAATCTCAAACACATCAAGAACTTGCTTATGATCCATGAAAACCAAATTTCAGTGAATGGAATTGTTCTTATTAATCCATTTAAAATAATACAATTACAGAAGAACAGAATGGATTTAATTTAAACATTGCTTACTCCAGGGTCAGTGCTATTAGTCTGCAATATAGGATTACAACGACAGACCCTGTTAATAGTCTACAGACACTATTACTCTATTACTTTAAACATGAAGTTAAAAAAGATTAGGTGATTCTTAGATAATTCCTTCCACTTGCTGGAATATATGATTAAACCAGATATGCTACCATCACCATGGTTTATGTTTAACATTTAGGATCATCAAAACAATCACTTTATTCCACCCTGCAACGTTTAAGAGGGTTTTCTGCAGAAAGGACTGACATCATGTCCAAGGACATAACTCAGTATTGCTGTGCCTGTTTTTAGAAGCTGTTTTTATCCAGTCAGCATATTTTTGGTTAAGAGATTGCTTTTTAATGCTCTAAACCTGATAGGTTTGCTCTGTGGCTTCCTGAGTCAGAAGAATATGAATCTCCCTAGACAATGTGCTGCTCTTGCTCAAGCCAGACAATGCTACGGCCCCAAATCAGAGCCTAGAACAGGGGACCAGAGCGGTGTCAAACCTGAGCATGCAGCCGTGTGGCAAGGGCATCATCTGGGAAGGTCTGAGATGGCCTAGCTCCTGAAGATCTGCTTCCTTTTTTTCAAAACAATGATAATGATTTAGCCCTCTGTTTTCCATGGCATGCAAAAGTTCACACTGATTTTCAGTAGCCTTGCTGATTACTTTGTCAAGTAAAGTTTTGTTCAGTGCAGAGGTCTAGAGCAACAGTCATTTAATGAAAGAAGAACACAGCATGTTAGAGACTTGCTTGCAAGGCCAAGGCATAGGAATGTGAACATCCTTGCAGCAAGAGGGACATTTCTCTAATAATTACAAATGAGGCAAGTGAAAGATTCACAAAGTCACACCATGCAGACATCCTCTTCAGGAACATAACGGAGTTCAGCAGCACTTTCTTATTCCAGTCTGATTCTTACTAATGCAAGCACGGGCAACTTGCAGGTATTGTATAACAAAAATGTACAGTGGAATTAGTATTTTCTCCTAATATATTCCAAAAGCCTATGTGTTACTTTTCTTAAACAAGATGTCAACAAGAAAATTTTCAGAGAGATTTATATAATTATTTGTAACAGTAAATGTGGTGATACTTCATCATAAAATCAGTTTTTACCTCAATTTCCTGGAATGAACTGTTGATCATTGCAATAAGCATGTTCAGTAAGACGATGACCATGGTAACATTATAGACTCCATAAAGGACATAACCAATATTTTCAATAAATTTGTGTTTATAATTGATGACAACCGATTTAACTTCTGAGAGTCCAAATATAGCCCAGAACAATGTTTTGAAACTTTCTTCAACACTAAAAGGAGAAATCGAACACATGCATATAATACTGAAGAAAAGCTGTATATTCTTATTGTATAAATTGCCAGTTAGCATTTTTACATGGTGTACAAATTTTTCCATTATCATAATGTAGAACTCTACCACAGTGCATAGCAATAGACTGTCTAATTTCATGCGTACAGGCTGTTTCATGATACAAGATTTCTAAAACTTAAGACTGACAATAAAACCATCTGTTTCAGTTTAGGAATTCTATACCCATCCTTGAAAGAATATCACAATGATTTACTTGTTAACTAATCTACATGCTACAGCCTGCTGAATGTAAATTAATGTAAATAAAAAATAATTAACCTGTAAATTATTTAAATTGTACCATTAGTTCACTTTGTATGAATTATTTCACCACTATTATGACAAACATTCTGAAACTGTGAGACAACAGGATGTCTGAGGGCAATTCATCAATTTTCATAAAAATGAGTCTCACAGACCATAATCCTCCAGCTGAATTTTTACTATTACACAATTTTAGTGTAAAACCATGGTGTGGACATACTGACTTTTTTTTCAAGTTAGTTCACTTAAATATATGTATTTCCTCTTAATCAGTTTATACATATACAGAAGTCCAAACTTCTGAGATACTTTTTCCTATCTATCTCCATCTGTTTGAAGACATATTTTCCCTTGCTTTGTTAAGGAGATCTCAGTTCCCCATGTCCAAAAATATAGTAGCATTGCAAAGCTACTACATTTTGCATTTAATTGCTTTATTGTTAAGGAAAAAAGTTACATTTTAATCAGTTGTACTTACGTTGTGAATGCTTCATTTTGCTTTGCCCCCAGATAGTAGGAATAGAGATTAAACATGCCGATCATGAAAGCTACAAACACCATGATAAATATCACCATAAACTTGAAGATGTCTTTGACGGTTCTGCCAAGTGATATCTGCAGTGGTCCAAAGCTTTCATTAGCTGGTAAGATGTAGGCTATTCTTGAGAAACTTAACACAACCGCAATTGCATACAGCCCTTCAGATATGATCTGAGGATCGGACGGATCCCAGTTTATTCTGGCTAGGAACAAAAGATGAGAACTGTCATTATTTCAAGATAACTGTATGCACCTATGGGGGGGTCTTTTTGGAACAGCAGTCAGAACAGCAATTGGAACAACATCTCAGGCACATGGTGTGACTCTTGTGGATGTCCTCTGCAGGGCTAAGAGTTGGACTTGATGATCCTTGTGGGTCCCTTCCAACTCAGGATATTCTGTGATTTCAAGATGAGAGAAGAAACCCATGGCAACTCAAACAGCACTAGTCACTTAGGTTTAGCTGACTGAAGTGAGCCATGTAACTAACTCTAAAACCTTTCCACAGTTCCACTGACTGTATTGCTTAGATCACCAGTGATTATAAAGGTGGACCGTAAGATCACTGAGGTAACTTTTTGGGAGCTGAATCCTTGCCTATAATAGAATTTAAGTAAAATTCAGCTTACAGTGTCAGGTGATGAAAAATGAGCTGTGACAAAATGAACTGTTTTGATGTGGGGATCTGAATTAATTAAATGGCCTTCACAACTCCAAAACTACATGAACAATAATATTTCTACATCTTTTCTACTTTACTGTCTTACTTATAATGAAATTGTAATGGTCCTTTCCCAGCAAACGTCAAACACCCATTTCCATCACCTTTTCTATCATCATTTCTATCAGTATCTTCTGCTGAAGCTAATGTACTCGTGAATTACTTGAATGTCTTTTAATGGGGAATGTGACACATTCAATTGCAGAGAGGAACATTTAAATTCAAACTTTTACTTAAATAAATATTTACAGAAAAGTGTCAGAAGTCCAAAGCAATACCCTTCAGAATACTTCCTTGCTGTAAGTCAAGATATTCTCTCATGATGTGGCAGGCTTAAATTCATTTGCTATTGTGCTTCAGGCAAAGAGAAGAGGTTAACCTGGGATGTGTTACCTATGTCCCAGGAGAGTGTTGCTATCTGTGACTACTTTACTGTAAAGGCCCTTCTCTCCAACATGTTCACATCTCTCTTGTACTGGGGAGCCCAGAACTGGACACAGCGTTCCAGCTGTGGCCTCACCAGTGCTGAGTAGAGGGGCAGGATCATCTCCCTCCACCTGCTGTCCATGTTCCGCCTAATGCAGCCCAGAATACTATTTGCTTTCTTTGCCACAGGGGCCCACTGTTGGCTCACGTTCAACTTGGTGTCCATCAAGTTATGTTTGCTACCCTATGAAAAAAGCTGTGGCACTAAATAACATTATTCATGTTGGCACTACCAGACACAGGTGCTCTCCAACCAGACTTCAGTGTACATGCATACACTAAAAAATGGCTCAACTGTGCTTCAGGGCATAACAAAGTCACAACCCATGACCGATATGAATGGAAACTGCCTTCCTAAATGATGCACCATTGTGTAGCATAAATGAGCTACAGGACTTGTGCTTGTCATAAGCAGACACTGTGAACATAAACAACAGTCTCTGTTTGCACATTCTTCAAGTGTGTGTTTCTGAAAACTGAATTAATATTTAACCACCTGTTTTTAGGACTTACGTGAAATCTGTAACTTTCCAGTAAAATTTGTCAGACTTACAATTCAATGTGTTTCAGAATCTATATATTAATTGCTCTGCTTTTCTACAGCCTGGATAATGCAGAAATGTAACCTTAAGAGAAATAGTATCTGAGGCACAGAACAGACATAGAAACTGATGTAATTCAGTATCTAGAAAAAAATATCTAATAACAGTAAGAGAGATGTGGTGATGTTGAGAGTGAACACTAATCAACAGAGCTTAATTTTTTCTCATTTGGGCGAAATAGCTTCTAGTCACTTCTCATATATGCCAAGCAAGTTTATTAACATTTTTCATCTCTTACCGGTAAAGACAGCGGATTGAAACATATTAAAGTAATACAACAGAGTCTCTGAGAAAACAATATATAAAAGATATATTGGTTATTTTGACATAGCATGTTTAAGAAGTTCATGCATCTCATTGCTTAGTTTTGTCCCCACATTACAGTAGATTCAATTCACAACTGCACCAACACAGATTGGTTTGCAGACAGTATTGTGTAATTGAATAGATTAAAATAATCTAGAAAAGGGGTGGGATGACAGTAAGGTTATTTTGATCTTAGATCATTTCAGTGCCTGCTGTTTAGAACACTCCCCAAAAGATGTATGAGCATAGCCAAGGGAACTGTGATCAAATAGTAGAATCTTAGAATCATAGAATATGCCAAGTTGGAAGGGACCCATCAGGATCATTGAGTCCAAATCCTGGCCCTGCGCAGGACACTCCATGAATCCCACCATGTGCCTGAGAACATTGTCCAAATACTTCTTGAATCCAGACAGGCTTGGTGCTGTGACCGCTTCCCTGGGGAGCCTGTTCCAATGCTCAACCACTCTCTGGGTGAAAACCCTTTTCCTGGTATCTAACCTAAACCTTCCCTGACTCAGCTTCATGCCATTCCCTTGAGTCCTGTCCCTGGTCACAAGAGTGAAGGGATTGGTACCTGCCCCTTTGCATCCCCTCACGAGGGTGTTGTAGACTGCAATGAAGTCTCCCCTCAGTCTCCTCCAGGCTGAAAAAACCAAGTGACCTCAGCTGCTCCTCACATGGCTTCCCCTCCACACCCCTCACCATCCTCGTGACCCTCCTTTGGACAGTCTCTAGTAGTTTAGTGTCTTATTTATAATGTGATGTACAAAACTGTACACAGTACTCCAGGTGAGGCCACACCAGTGCAGAGTGGACTGGGACAATCACTTCCCTTGGCCATCTGGTGATGCTATGCTTATGCATCTGAGGACACGGATGTCTCTCCTGGCTGCCAGGGCACTGCTGACTCATATTCAATTTACCATAAGGATGAGAAGGAGAAGGAGTGGGAATTTCTTTAGTAGTACATTGTGGAACTATGGTATTGGAGACTTATTAACAGAAAAATCAGTTCATCTTGGCCCCAGAAGTAAATCTTAACCATGTTCAATCAACTCACCCAAGGTGTAGTATTTTATGCTGGGGTCCAGTGTTGGACTAGTCAGATCTTTCATATGCGCATCAACGAAGTTCTGGGCTCTGGACGCATGCCAAAATGCCATAAACCTTGCTATGAATGATGCTGCAAAAATTGCTAACATACCAAAATCAAGCATGTTCCATAACTCAAAAAGGTATTCCTTTGGACCTTGAGACCAAATTTCTTTACATTCAGACCATATCATGCCTGTTTAAGACAGAACAGAGAAAACAATGTGTTCTTTTATCTTCACAATTGTTTTATTTTATATTTTTATTATATATAGAACATGCTCTTGGTTGCAGTCAAATTCAAAACAATTTTGATCAGTGGGAATTCAAACACAAAATAAAATCCTTGAATCTGAAAATTCATATACATTCCAAGACTTCTTCTCTTGCAAGTAATAATAACAATCTTTAAGAATTCTTTTTCCTGTACAACTATAAAAGCTTTCAAAGAGAGGAGTGGGATGTGAGTATTACCATCTGTTACAGACACAGGAAGAGATGGAAAGAGCAGAAATACTCTGGCGTGATCTGTGGTAGAGCTAATAGAGAAACTTCTAGAGCTCTTGTAAGGAAAGATATTTTACTTAGCTTGAATTTAACTTTCACACATTACTGTCTTAAGTAACAACCAGAATCCAGACCCTTAAAATATTTGGGTATGTAACCCTCACTGGATTAAAAGGTATTAGACTTGTAAATGAGAATCTGACAGCCAAAATATTTTGAAGGGCCTGTACTCAGGTTCTGATGCTGAATAGTACTACATCACTGAATTCAATGGGTCAGCTCAGAGTACTACTCATAGCACTCATTTCATGCCTATGCTGGGATGAGAAAAATCTACTGCCAAATGTTCAGGGGTCTATATTCTTCTCTTTTGTCAACAGTACATTCAGCTAAATACTGTTAGTTCTGCAGATATACTTGCAAAAAAAGAGAATCTTAGCAGAAAGAAACAATTGGACACAAAAAATTTGGCCCATCATGTGCAAATCTTTCCCCTTTGTAGTTGTCGCAGTGTGACTCAAAACCCCCGGAAAACTGGTAGACACTTTGCTTTGTTATTTGTAAAACTGAATTCATGTAGATGTAGATTTCAGGATGATGTAGATTTCACCTAAGTCCTTAATCTGAATGTGATCAGCTGGGAACATGTGAGTCCTGATGACATCCAGTATAAAACATGAGGCCCATGTAGGAATGCAGACAACTGAATAAACTCCCTTTGCCACAATTTTTCACAAAACATTGATAGCACAGGATTTAATTTAGTTCAGCTTCACTTGAAATCATAGCAAGACAAATTTAAGCAAAATTTTTTACCTATTACCCAAGAAATAATGAGCATCTCCATCCATGTAAAACATGATGTTTTCATCCTAAACAGCTGTTTTACATTGTCTGTTGTTTCATTAGGTCGGAGTTTGGTGCCATCAAACCTGTCAGCTGCATTCATGACAAGCAGACCAAGAAAAATGGTGAAAGAGGCTGCATGGGCTACAAACTTCATAAATGGTCCACGCATTATCCTCCCCAGCTGCAACAGAGATTATGAAACACAAGGATATTGCATTGACTTCTTCCAAAATAAAAAATATATAAAAAGAGCAGTAACACAGAAAGTCATATATTTCAATAATGCAAAGGAACAAATATTTAGAAAAATTTGTGTACTATGATGCCATGTTGACAGTTGCCTTTAGAAGTTTCTACTGATGTGATATTTTCAGAGAAAAATCTATCAGTTTCACTGATAGAATAATGAAATTAAAAAGATCTGTATTTTTAACTCGGTGATTTGAAATAATTCCATAATAAGTTTGCGGTATCTATGTCTATTACAAATAATCCAAGGTAAAATCTATTATAGTTGTTGGATTTCTTACATGCTAGTCATCTTTATGAGGCAAGAAAGAAATCAAGATTTTGACACTTACTAAAAATATTATCACCATGAATTAATTATGACTAAAGAATTTCATTTCCTGACTGACGTGATACTCAGTTTAGCACAGTTATTGGGCAGTTTTCCCAATTTATTTTCTTTTTTTAAAAAAAGTTGTGAGGCCTCAAAAGGTTATGTTTATAGTCCTGTAGAGTCTTAATTTCCTCCTGACTACTACAATGGAAAAGTTCTCAGCTTTGTCATGACTAAGAACAACTTTAAAATGGTTTAGTGCAACACTTCAAAAACCTAAGAGTTCCACACAAATTCACACAAGGTTGAATTTCTAGGAATTATTTACCTTATTTTAGAGAGTGGCTGTATTAATATTAAAAGTCTTAGCTTGTCCACTTAGTTGGAAGCTGCAGAAAAATACTTTTTCATTTTAGACTAAGACTGTACTTGTATCTAAAAAAATTGCTTGGAAATGATTGAAAGCAATTACAGATCAGCAGTTACATATCTCAGCTAAAACATATAAAAATCTGTAGCCTGGAAAAAGTAGGTGGAAACAGAGAGGTATGTTATTGGTACTCATATTTTTGCTGCAGAAAATCAGAATATTGCAGTCAGCTTTTACAGAAACATGAATAAGAGGATGGAGCCAAGGATGCAATGGTAAGATCTCAAACACAGATCACATTAGGAAGACTAGACAAATGTAAATATAAGATACTGTTAAGGGAACACTGTCAAGGTTAGCAGGCATAAATTTGTTATATTACTTTTCAAACCAATGCCATTTATTATGTTTCTCATTCAATTAAATTAATTTCTTTTTTATTAAATAAAACAGTCTGTCAGCCTCATGATATGAACTTCAACAACCAATTATTTTGCATGAACTACAAAGAGAACAGCTAATTGTCATGGGGAAAAATTTTATTTCAAGCTAGGAAGGTACAGTCATAAACAACATACAATAAAGCAGAGTTGGAAAATTATAAAGTACCTTGACAGTGTCCTTTTAAATGTATTATTCTTGTATTCATAAACAAAGATGAGTTAGGAGACAGTTGCCAGAGAGAGACATAACCAGAAAAGAAGAAAAAATACTAAAGAAGGTTAATGTTAATATATCCCTTGATCAAAAACCATAAAATTTAAGAGAGTGAATTCCTAGTACCCCACCTCCTGTCCCTTCTAAAGAAACAGAAAAGTATTTTTTACATATATATAGCAAAATCTCTCTAGAAGCAGAATTTTGGTTGAAGTGATTACAAAACTGCTGGAAGTTATTATGATACTACTATATAACAATGATCCAATGAAATTTTGAAATTACACTTCTAAATTTCTGAATTTCCTTATGGAGAAGATATAGGTCAGAAAATGTGAACTGGGAGGAAAAAAAGCAGAATCTAAAGCCAAGGCCATAATCTTGCAACTCTGGACTTTTCCATAAACTAGAATCCCCCTCATACACTTTCATTGTGCATTCTGACGTAATAAATTCCCTTCCACTGCACTTCCAAGGACATAATTTTCTAAGTGCTCTGAATCTCTCTGTGTTTTAAGTGATCTAGAGTTTTCTTTTGGGTTCTTTTCTGGATTCTGATACTCTATACTATGTTTTTTGGTTTGCTATGGAGTTTTGAAGAGTGTTTTATATGTTGTTTTAGGTTAGGACAAGATATACAATAGTTACATGGTGGACACTGACACTTATCTGTCTGTATAGAGGGTCACCTGTAACTGCTGGGGTCTGTAGTAAGTGATTCACATTATTCCCCACTTGTAACTCTGCAGAAACAATTAGTATTGTAATATTATGGAGTATGGCATTGATAAAGAAATTATAAAATGGGACTCCAGGTAGCACATCTATTGCAAAGGAGAAAAGGTCTGATTAAGAAAAAACCCCTAGATTATGCATATACTTTTTTAGTAAAAACAATTTTTTAGCTCCTCATATACTGGACACAATATTCAATTTTTTTTCCTCTACCACAATGCAAAAGAGGAATGTGTATAACTCTCAGAACAAGCTTCTAGGAAGCATTTAGGAATTTTTCAAGTTGCTTCTTTAAAAATACCAACCTCAGGTGACTGGGAACAGCAAAAGATGACTCAGTTTCAAATGTAGATCCTTCATCTTGGCCAGAGGTTGACCGAATTACTTATGAGTTCATAAAGCTAAAAATCTAAATTCTATTACTAAAGCTGAACAGCAGAGACATTAGAGATTCCTGCAGATAACTGAAAAAAGGTTTTAATCTTCCATGTCATGTAATAAAATATTATTCTAGAAATTTGTGCTAATGATGTCAGTAGTTACACTGAATTAACAATTAGAAATGCAGAGCAAAGAGTTTACAAAATTTTGAAATGCCTCTGCAAGGATCAATGGCTGAAATTCAAATAAGAGGCAATCTTAACGCCTTTTGGCATCTGACAGTAGTGAATTCCTTCCAAATTGACAGGACTGACCACATATTTCCATTAAATTTTTTTCACATCTGAAACCTTCAATTCAAACCTTCAGTCTGTGGTCCAAACTCAAATTAACTTTTTCCCAAAGAGGAAACTGGTCAGCATTACAGGCAACTGACTGAGATGTTGCGAAAGTCATAAACATATTTTTGCCTTTTCAGAGCCGTGGCATGAGAATATAAAGAAATGTGTGAGAACTCTACTGTAAGTTGTTATTTTCACCAGAAATACTGTGAACATTTTCTCTCTCTTCTGTCACTGTACCTTATACTGCCAAATCTGGAAAAAGAATGCGTACTTTATCTCGGTAGGAAGAGAAGACGTAAAATTCCGTCAATTCGTACACAGAATGGACCCTTGATAAAGATGATGTTCTATATCGAAGCCATCCTATCTTGAGACTATACACTGAAAATTTTTGTCTTCAAAAACCAGATTAAACTTCTCAAGTATAAGTGAAGCATAAAGTATTAAATTATATTTGCAGAATACAATGAAACAAAAAGCATTCAACACATAAATCACATGATGAGTTGATTAAATAGTGACAGAATTGAAACCTTAATGAATGTTGTTACTTGTACCTTGACTTTAAAAGCTACTCTGAAATATACTTTTCAGAATGTACAATGGTTCAAATTTAGTTTAAGATCCAATAAATCATTGAAAATGGAAAATGACAAATAGATAAGTCACCGCTATAGTAGAAAATCAATTAATAAAGTGTGTTGAATCTCAAGGAGTGTTTTAAGAAATAAGTATTCATAAAACCCCAGTCACTATACAGGAAAGTGAAAATAATATAACTGATCTTTATTGCCCACACTGAAAGAAATGAAAAAATATGGCAAAACAAAAAAGGCTCACTTTTCTCCTCCAGAGAACAACAAAAAAAACCCCACACAAAGACCTCAGTCCTCTCTTTCAACCTTCCTCTTCCCCTGAAATCATGGTATGTGCTAAGGATTTGACCTGCTAGAGTTGGGGATATTATACTGCAACATGGTGAATGATCCTTATAGGATGCCATTTTTTCCCTCTAACATACCTTCAAGGGAAATTTTCCATCAGTGTCCACTCAAAATGGATAGTGACCAACTCAAACAGAGATTCAATACAAAGTTCAGCGAGGTCAGAGATTGTCACCCAATCCCGACAGTGCATTGTAAATCAATGCAGGGGAGATTGTGTGACTGCTTTGGAGACCTCATGAAATATGATGAATATTAGCACTGTCTTGTCAAGCCAACACATTTAATTTTGACTTCTAGAAAAGTGATGATTGTTTTGGTTTCTGCCATTCATATTTCGGTGACTTTTATCTATTTATTTTTCATCATGAAAAATAAAATTGCCTTTGACATAATTGGAATCAACCCCCTGCTTGAACTTAGTCTAAATCTGAAACAATGGAAAAAGAGTATCCTTGGTATTTACCTATAGAGGCAAGAACTAAATGATAGCAATTTGACTTGTTGTTCGTAAAGCAGGATTTCTACAAGGTAACTCTTGCTCAACTATTGTAACTTAATTTAATATATATTACATTTAACACAACACATATACCTGTCTTTATTACAGTTGTCTGAACATGCAATCTTGCAGCCGTTCCATTCTAACTTGGCTTTAAAATAACTTTTATTGTCTAAGCATGTCTTTGTCAGACAGGAATCTATGTATAGATGATACAGGAGTTAATAAAAAGCCATTACAAGATTTCACAGACTAACCTTACTGCAAGGAGCAATCCAGTAAGCCATTGAAAGGAAGGGCAGTCCTATTGCAACAGCAAGAACAACCAGAAACTTCACTGCCATGGTCTGCTGTCGTAAACCTGATAAATTTTCATACCAAATTGAGAGAAGTTGTTGCTGGCAGTTTGGATGTGCTACAAACTATAATAAAGAAAAAGAGCACAAAAATAATATTGCTATCAGAATAACCTTTATTAAAATACAGCTATATGAAGCACATTAAGAATTCTGGAATAGCAACAACTCAGGAGAGTTGTTCAAAGGAGAATTAACAAGGGCATAAGAAAAACTATTTGACAGGCTAAATTTCCCAGCAAACAGATATGTTGCCATCAGCAACAATAAATACTTTAATTTAAAAAACTACTGTTTATTGACACATTTATTATTTATTATTCAATCACAAACTATTAATTTTATCTAAGGTTAATTAAACATAAAATTTATCTGGTCAAACTTTATAAGTTTCTTATACTTATATTTTTAAATTTACTGCTTCAGAAATTCCAAAACTTTAAGTCTTTTTGTTCTGCAAAAAATGCTATATAATCTTCAGTTGTGAAAGAAAGATTTTGACATATTTTCACATGCTAACATGCTGGCATAAGAAAACAGCTGTCATATTTGCAGGAAATCAGATAAGGACTGTTTATAACTTGGTTCTGGAATATTTTGGACAAACTCTGCAAAACTGAGAAGTCTACCCTATAACCCCCTTTGTGTCCTCTGGGTAGTATAAGAAGCACCTTACAAAGGTAGATATTAACAAATAGTAGATCCTTGTGTACTGTATATGTTTATATCTAAACCTGTAAATAGAACTAAAAATTTAAATTAATCTAGGCTGGTTTTTTTCTATAATCTTCTCTATACTTAAAGGATGACTGGCTGCAGGTGCAAGAAATATCTTTATTGAGATAAGAGAAAGAACTTTCTTGTGCAAGAAAGTTCACATTCAGGGAAGGATTAAGACTCAAATACTATGAAGGACAAACTCATTGTGATATGTTCTCTTCAGCAGCTGCTTCATCTCTCTTTAGTGACCATAACTTGCCAAGTGTTTTGCAGTGTTTTCATTTGCTGGTGAGTGCTCAGCCAAAATAGTTTTCTTCTTTTCTTCCTTTCATGAACACATAAATACACCTCTCATGTAAGAGATGCGAGCTCAATTTTTGTAAAAAAGGCTCTACTTTAGGGCAACATGCATTTCAAGTATTCTTCTGATCTGTATCTTCTTGATCTTTGGTTGTATAAGATTTATCACACAAATCATTTCTCCCTGGTTCACGCATGCCACCTAGAATTTTACAACCTCTATTATCCAAGACAAGTTTCCTGGGTAATTCAAGGGTCTCTGTGCAGCTACTAACTCAGCTGGTTTCACTGAGAGCTTTTCAGATGGAGACCATAGTATTAAACTGACAGTAGAAATGAAAGCAAGACAAAGAAGGAATGATAACTGTTGTAATTGACACTGCCTGAAGCCTTTTTTTTTTTATTTTGCACATAGCTACAAATTGGTTTAGATTCATTTGCTCTCATACTCACTGTGACCAGTATCCACCCTGAATATCTGCTTCTTGTTTATATTGCAAGCTATCTGGGGCAAGGATTCTTTTGTTTGCAAAATACACTGTGCTAAAGGGCCCTAATGTTCATTTGTCATAGGCTACCAAAACATAAACATTTAATAATAGCACAATTTAATACCACTATCATGACATGTCTGTTTGGTCAACATAATTGCTTACTTTTTTAACTTCATACTTAATGGCAAGTTTTAAGCGGCTAAGGCTGGGGCGGCCGTGTTCTCCATTACTGAGGTTCATCTCTACATCACCATTCAAAATAGCTTCCACTTCTTCTGTATTTCTGCACAAATCAAGGAGTCCGACTACAAAATCTTTGCATTGCATAGACAGTTTCTTGTAATCATTCTAGAAAACAGAAGAAAGAAGGAGACTTAATGTTTGGATCCACCATGACAGAAACAGTTCTAAATCCCAGCCACACCTCTGTGAATATTTTCTTTGCATCTTGTTATGAGCTTCCCCCCCCCCAAATGATCAGAGTGGGATTTGTCTCACCTTGGTTACCTTGCATATCTACCTTATCAAGTTCTGCACCTGAGTCACTTCTCTAGACTTGCTTTTGAGGCCATTAAAGTAAAAAAAACCACTTTCAGAAATGTTGTATGACATATTTTTATAGCCTGTTCAAGTTGAGATGAATAGCACAGGGGAAATTTTTCTATGCTCTGTCACAGCAGTCTAGACATCCAGTTGAGATCTAGAAAATTGCACTGTAGAGATTTCAATTGGACAAGATGAGTATCCTACACAGAACACATCTAAACAAATTTCCAACTTTCCTGAGAATTGCACAAATATAATGAATTTTCTTAGGTCTTGATTTATTCTTGTAAACTTCATCTTTCTCATTTTCCAGCATCTATTCTAGCTTAGAAACATAAGATTGCCTTTCTCAAACAACACTGTCGGCAGTGCCACAGTTAGCGTGGTGATACCACATTTCTAACTGCAACTCTGCTCTCTAGCTCAAATATCTCACAACAGACTTCACTATGTCAGCTAAAATGTTGCACTGCAACTGCAGGTTCCATTGCTTATTCCTTTAACTACCAAGTGTTCTCCTCAGTCACAGGTATTTTGATCATTGCAATCCACAGTTCATTAACCACCTTTACATGCAGCTGTGTTTGGGTCATAAAAAGACAAATATAGCTAGACAGAGAGGGAGTTGGATGTAGATACAGATGTATATCTAAAGCTAAAAAATTTCTCTTAGGAGAGATTTAGTCACATATGTGCCAACAACTTTTGCTATTTTTGTCATCTCTGCTAATTTTAATGTCTTAAAAAGATGAAATTACTTTAAAATATTTCCTAAACAAAAGAATGAAAAAATCCTCCAACCACCTCACACCATATAGGACTGCTCATGGCGTCTCCATTGCATATTCAAAGTAACTTTCTACGAATGCTTTTATTACAGTGGCACATTTCCAGCTCTTCCAGTCTGTTCTTCATAGCATTCCCCCTTCTCCCACTTGTACTCTCTGTTTAGCCCCTTTTTTAAATTACTTCCCTCCTACTAAGTGTCATCTAATGCATTTAATGCTTCATCCTGGAAGAGAAACCATTATTGAGTCAGGATACCCTAATTTATTTGCTGAGGGTGTACTTCGTGCATCTCTGTGCTTTATTAACCACAACACCACAATAACAGTTTATTACTTGGATATATTAAATGATTGCATCCAAGTTTTACACTTCACTTTGCTTAGATGGATGCAAACCTTCCCAGACAAATAGTTACAGACAGTATTGTACATCTACATAAAACTGCTAGCGATTTACTTTTTTAATAATGTAACATAAACAAGATAGCTCAGATCTGTCATAAAAGACAAAGGCACTTCAATGTCACTTATCTACAAAGACAACAGAAGATAAATAATAAAACTAACCATATCCTGTCATGCTGTATAATTTATTATTGCATTATTTATTTTCCTTCTCTTCAGAAGAATAACAAGAGGGATTAACTGAAATCCTGACATTTTGGCACTGCAGAAAGACATTTTTTGCAAGTAATAGATCACCTTCTGTTTGGCTTTCATTTTTGTGGCAGAAGCTAACATTCATTATTCAAAAATTTTAACACATGAATGTCCTCTTCAAAATGATAGGAAAATTAACCATTTTAGATTCACAGACAAAGGACAAACATAGAGGCAACTACACATCCTTCTATGATTAGGTACCAAAATGATATCTGACCCTTGAACATCAAATGAAAAAATGAATAATTTTCAATAAATATAGGAACAAAATCATTTGACCTTCATAATAACTATTACAAAATATTGTAATATATTAGTATGTGCATATTTTCTGGTAGGAGATATGTACAATCATCCACACTCACACACACCCTTCATCAGTATTTAACAGCTCAAATGAGTGAGACTTGACATGGAGTTTCAAAACAGTATGTGAGGAACTCCACAGGGGAGTCCAATGTCTTTGGGTAGCCTCAAAACATCATATATGATAATTTATTCTAATGAATAATATGATTTTTTTTCTGAGTGTAGTACTATTTACCAAAATATATACTGGAGGGGCACTTTTTAGGTAGAGCCAGATTCCCTGTTCACACTGTGCCAAATTATCCCTTCTGAATCTAGGTTCGTACACAGTACCACAGTATGTATTAGTACCCAGTAAATTCATCCATAAACTCCATCAGTTTATATTCCCATTTGCAAATGCAATAAAATAGCTTCCTCTCCCATGAAATACTGCCACAGCTGTGATCAGTGGTGATAGCCGAGTTGATAAGTCCTCAGCAGTCAGGTTGCGGCAAACAACCTTTGGAGAACTGAGCGTTGCCCATCACTGCCTCCACCTCAGCTGTGGTGCAGGCAAAGTCAGCTGAAGGCAGAGCCCTTCCCTGTTCCAGTTCACAGCTTGCTGTCTTGAGACCTATTCTCTTACGAAGAATTTTTCCTTTCAGAGAAGGTTATGGAGGATAGATGGGATGATAAAGTCTTAAACTGCTACAGGAAAATTTGTCAGGGTCTGAACTTTGTTTCTAAGAAATCATGTGTGTTCATTTGCAGAAACTACTACATGGGCCACCTTTTGCCCCTTGTCTCCTTAGTTCACTTAAATGTCTAATGACAGCAAAAATGACTGATACACTCTTCAGTGTCTCTCTATCACACATGCACAGAAAGTTCCCCCTCTCCCAGAGTTTCACGTCTCCTACCACTAATGTGAGCCAAGGGAATGTGGCAATTTGTTTGGCTTAACTTATTTTTGAAAATGGCCAAAAGCATGGATAATTCCGTGAGTTTTCCTCTACTGCAAAGTGTAAACTCAGTGAATTTTAAATAAAGCATTTTTGGGATACTTGAGAAGGGAGTTAAAAATTAAATTATAGTTGGAGGCTCTAAAAAGAATCAACCTTTAATTCTTCAATAAAGCATGTCTGTTTTATCTTATGCATGTGACAAACATTGGTTCAGGGCTCCTCAGCAGTTTAGGAAAAAACAAATTTTGCCAAATTTCGCCACACTAAGCATGAGGGGGCAGCACTAGCTGGTCCCACCCTGCAAAAGAAGGTGATGATTTGGGGTGAGTGCTATGGGGGATGATGAACTGGGGGAACAAGATGTTAGTGGCCAGGAGAGTAGGAGAACATCACCAAAACTGTTTCTCTCAGAAAAACAGGTCCTTCTTCACACAGTCTCCTGTGACCGGTCATAGGCTCCCACTGTCCCCCCCAGACTATGCCCGGGATGAGAATGCTCTCAGGATGCAGGTTGACACTGAACCCTGCAGAAGAGATGTAGCAGTGCTCTAGACCATATCCTGGCCCTGCTTAGTAGAACTGTAGAGGCCAAGATCAGAAACTATGTTTATCAGATGGGCCTTTGAGAATCCTGGTCTAGTGGAATTAGAATTTAGGACCTAGTGGATTTAGTATTTCAAAGTGCTTTGTGAATGTAAGTGGGATGTAATGTTGGATTTAGGCATCTCAGTAGGTGGCTAAACACATTATTTCCCTTATAAAGGTCCTTAGTCCTTCTTCTCCAGCAGGTGATGTTACCTTTTTTTTTAAGAAATATGACTATAGCTGTAATGAAGACTGGGATCCAATTTCTGTAATGGGGGTTGTATAAAGGAAAAGAAAAAAACCAAAACAGAAGAAAATCAGACTTTGAGTTGATACGTTGAATTTTGCTTCTTATCAGAAAACCAAACTCAGACAACCTTATTAGGGGAAGTAATTTACAGTAAACAGTAACATATCTATATTTAACTTAAAAATACATTTTCCATTCCATCCCATGACACAATAAACCAGTCTGTTGCCGTTATAGTTGCAATGGACTTTGTACTAAATGCTTATCTTATCCATTTTGAACAGCACTGGGCCACACCTGTCCCTCTCAAAACTCCAGGCCACATCTCTGCAGGACATTTGTCATATATCATCGACATCTTTATGGACATAATAGAGATATTAGCTCTAGGGTGGGCGAATGATTGAGATGACAGAAAACATGATCACAATATCCAAAAGTAAAAATATTCTATATAATATCAAACCTTGTAAAACTGCATACTTAGTCATGTCAGGGTAATCCCAAGCACAAGCAGAGGCTGGGAAGAGAATGGATCAAGAACAACCCTGGGGAGAAGGACTAAGGGTGTTTATGGATGAAAAGCTCAACATGAGCCAGCAATATGTGCTTGCAGCCCAGAGAGCCATCGATATCCTGGGCTGTATCAAAAGCACCTTGACCAGCAAGTCAAAGAAGATCTCAGAATTACTTGGGAAGCCTGAATTAGCTGTTTGCTACAGAAACATTCCTATACTGTGATTGACACATCTATCCAGTTTAGCACTGACCCTTTCTATTGCCTCTGAGGAAGATCTGGGAATTATCTGTCCCACTGGTTGCTGTAGACACTCACTTGAAAGTTCTCCTGCAACAATACCCCATCAGCACCATAAAATAGGTGACTGTTATAACAGTGTATTACAGAAAGTTCAATTTCCATTTAGGTAAGGTTTGAAATACTTCAAGTGGCTAAGGCAAACTCCAGGTGGAACTAAAGATTTGCCATGCCCAGCTAACCTATGCACTAAAAATATACTTGTTCTGACTACACTAACACGTGTAACACGTTTTTAGGAAACCCACATTTTTATGCAGCAAACTCCTGAAATAAAGCAAGGTTAACAATTTTTAGATAAATTGCTGCAAGCAGGGATATGAGCTTGCAGGAGCACAAGCTAGCCCACACTCAATAAAGCTGACAGCAACCATTTCCTATAACTTGCACACACTTATACTGCCTCCACTGAAACTAAGTCAGGTATTTTGCAGTCAAGTCCCTAGCCTGTCTAGATTCTGTAAATGTTAATCACTTATCAAAATTGTAAATGTTAACTCTCAATAATTCACGTATAAATGCGAATGGTCTTTAATATTTATCCAGAACCACCACGGGATTTTAGTACCTATAAAAACATTCCCTAAAGACCCAATGTTGTCTGCTCCTGGTGAAACCTTAAATTAAAGGAGAGTGAAATTTCTGTGTTGCCTACTGCTCCTGCTCCTCACAGTACCTATCCACCTCCACTCTACTCAAAGAGTATGTATGTTCCCAGCAGAGCCTGGATGTTTAATGCCTGGTAATGTGGAGCTGCTCTGTCTCTCATCTAGCCTCCTGTTTCTGCTGAGGGACAGTACCTGTTGAAATTCTTTATACACCACTGCACTAGAAGTTAAGCTCTAATTTTCGAGAAAGCAACTGAAACAAAAGAAGAACTAGAAAAAAAGAAGTCCTTGAAGAAAGACCTTCTTATGGCACTTCAGAGCAGGCTGTACAAGTTTGCTCTGTGACCCAGCCCACCTGTTCTCACCTGTGTACTCCATTCCCTGCCTGGTGGTACCAGGGACAATGTGCTCCCAATTCATCCCACTGACTGTGTACTGCAGCGTACATTTGAAAGACAGTTCTTGCTGACTGTTCCAGATGATGATTTTGTTTATCTTTATAATAATCTTAGTTTGTGTCACTCCAACTGTGGTAAAGGGAGCTATACAGTTCCTACGAATCAGACATGCTATTATCTCAACATAGCTGTGAACTTAACAGGCTGCATTTATGGTGTATGCAAAATGGTTTTCTATTCTGTTCTAAATTTACTCCTCTTTAAGTTAATCAACTCCTTTTGTTCCCATCAGCAGCTGCTAAAGAGAAAGAAATGAGTGTGTGGTTTAAATTCTCTCCTCTGAACTGTACATGAAAGCAGTGGATGAAATCTCAGTCCACTGAGGTCCTAAGGATTTCTCTCAGGGAGTTCATAAGGCAGACATGCATCCTCTGCATTACGTTGAAATGGTCCTCCCACCATTTTTAATTGATATAAAATGAAAATTCTCCTCTGCTCCAATTTCTGAGGTTTAGCTGTTGTTTTTAAGATCATCTTGCACATTCCTTCTCCTTACTTTCCCTCTCCAAGAAATATTTCTGCTTCTTACAACAGATTGGTGCCATAAAGATACCCTTATGAACAAAACTCAGGAGTAATTTATTCAGAACTTCAGCATCTCAGATCAGGTTGGCTAAATCAAGAAAGGTTCAGGGCCTTGTGAACTGTGCCACTGCTAAGATGAACATTAAATATTGATCATGCCAACTTCAAACTCTTCCTAACATAATGTTGAAAATTATTCTATTACTGCTTTGGAGGGGGTTTATCTCCTGCTAGTGAAGTCTATATAGTAACATCTGCTTTCAACAGGGTCCCATAAGGCAAACCCAGTCTAAGTGATTTTAGCTAACCTAAGTCATAATTAACAATGGCAATGTTTGCACAAAGCCTGACTTTGCATTTACTGAGAGAAAGAAAGTTACATTCTTACTGTCCTAACACAAATGAACTGTGGAAAATATTTCTGTAGGTTGTGCACCTACATAACAAAAAAAATGAAACAAAGAACACTCACACTTCAAGTCTCAACTAATCATACTTTTTTCAAAATCAAAAGCATTTGTAAAATATTAAAAATTCTTTATAACACTGAAAAAGTCTTTAAGGTTAGAGAGTTCCCATATAACGAACCACAAGTAAGTAAAAAAGAGGAAGAGGTTACTAGAAATACTAGAAAAAAGAAAGCAGGACATTAAAAAAGGAGAAGGATGTTTATTTAGAGTCCTTTTTTGTGAATAAATGCAAAACTTTGTGAGGAATGAGAAAGCCTCCAGTCCAATTATGAGAAAATAATAAGAATCTGCAAGTGTTTAATAGAATCACACAACTTGTCTTGCCAAACAGTACCAAAAGGTACCACTTTAGTCTCCTCTTTCCCGTGCCCTAAGACAGCTTCAGCATGGGTTTGAAGGGCCTTCTTTACTATCCTGTCTAATAGGAAGTAGAAAATTAGTTCACTGGCACATTCTACACAAGGATCAAGAATTACGCTCAGCACACAGCAATAAGTCATTCCCAAGGATTTAAATACTCCATTGATTAAACAATTATATCTTTTCCGAAATTATCCTGCTGATTTATGAAGATAATGCTGATCTCTTATTGTTCAAGGAATGGGAGAAAACCTTTGATTGAAATTTGTAATTTTGTGTCTGTCAGAATCAGTATCCCTCTACTCACCTTGAATTCTTTCTCTATGTTGGCAAGCACAGCCAGCTCATTGCTGAGCTCTAAGGCAGTCATTACAGGGTCTTCACTGGACAAAGACAGATAAGCAGGGCTGGCCAGACCTTTGTAGGCATTGATTCTGGATCTGGAATGGCTGAAAGAGTCATGTTTTTGTTTCTGATTGCATTCACTGCACTTGCAGAAATAGTCATGTGGCCTATCGATCCTAGCTCCTTTTCTCAGCAGAGTGTGGACAATCTCATACTCATGGCAGTGAGCAGCCAGGATGATTGGTGTAACATCATGGGAAAACCGTGTGCCATCTTCATCATATGCATAGAAGTCATCTTGCTGGAGCTCTGACTGGCTAGGACTCAATGCAAGCCTCTTGCCTTCGGCAAAAGCGGGATGGTTTAGGATGGCTTCCACTATCCGAACATAACCTTTGCTAATAGCCAAAAGCAAGGCATCCCCCACCCGAGACAGGTTCTCCTTCTTCAGCAGAAGCTCTGTGATCTCCAGGTGCTCATTGGCAACTGCCAGCTGCAAAGCGTTCTGTCCCATGTAGTCCACACAGTTCACATTGAGTGAGGGACATTCTTCCAGCATTTTGCGAACCACTGGAATATTTCCATATTCTGCAGCATCCAAAAAGCGCTCCTCCTCAAGGGAAAGACTTGTTGAGTGGTCATTAAACATATATGCCGGCCCTCGACTGGCCTGCCTCCTCCCCTTCTCCCGGAGAATGGTCTGTCTTCGAAGCGCTAGTCTGTTCTCGTTGCCTCGGCTGTGTGGAAATAGAAAAATTATCAGTTCAGTTTTATGCAAGGGCATATCCATTTTAAATAATAATTAATACAAGTACTTTAAACCTTTATCTTCTGCATATTTTTTAATGCATCAGGAAGACCAGAAACACTGACTTTGATGCACTTTGTAACCACAGTCACTACACAGCCCTGGAATAACTAGCCAGATACTTTATTTCAACAGGAAGAAAAAGCCCCAATCAGTCATAATTTAACACTACACTTTTTTCCTTATTTTGTCCTCACAGCTCAAAGTGAAAACAAGCCACAAGGTGAAAGGAATCAGCAGTCATGGGATTAGGAATGAGGGATTGCTCAAGACAGCAGGGCTCTGGTTTCTCCTATTCACCCTGATGTTTTTCTCACATCTGTAATTGAATGTTCAGTCATAGATTGAATCTGGACAAGATAAAAGCATACAATTACACTGTATGACATTTCTTACTCCCCATCTCCACCATCCTTTTCATTATTACAGTTCATAACCTTGATATACTATTTATTCCTTCACTCAGTATCTTGCCAACACATCCTGCCGATTCTTGATTCACAATACTTCTGAAATGTTGTCCAGTCTGCTGCTACTGAAACCCTTAGCAATTCCTAACCTTTTATAGTAATTATTAATTACTTCATTAATAATTATTTAATGATTAAAACATAAAGGGAACTATATCAAAGTTAAGTTTATTCAGGAATGCTACAAAGTATGTTACATTCTCTTTAACAAGAAGAAAATCTAATTCGCAACTGTTATTATTTCAGTCAACTAAGATCCCAATCCTGAATAGAAATTCAGTTGTGAATAATTTTCTCTTTTAGAATTACTCTGCTAAACTACATAATATTCACCACAACTTCATCTTTTTTTCTCATTGAATAGTAGCTTAGTGATTCTTTACATACATATGTTCAAACACACTTCATTATATTCAGTATTTCCCATAAAATACTAACCATGAGCAATATTTTATTCATTAACTACTTACTAACGAATATGAATTTAAATGTCTAGATTTAACTTTAGTATAAATTTCCTTTTTTTTCCTCTTACCTTCTCAGTTCCAGAGATACAGTTCTCTGCAGCACTGGAAATGCTTCAAATTGCCAAAATCTTACATATAGAAGGACAATTTTTGTGTAAGATAGTAATAGGTATGGAATGTGGAATATATCTCAACATACAAGAGTAACGGTCAATGTAACAGGACTAATACTGTGCTGCAATGGCAAGTTTACAGCCTTGGTTTGCACTATGTCGGTCATTTCATGATATGGAACAATGTTAGACCCCATTTTCTACTCCTTGAGATCTCTGCAAAGGCTGTCTCAGTTACTGCAGGTTCAGAGCATATGAGAGAGCATGAATATATGCTAATGTCTTACAGATGGATATGCTATATTGCTGGTTGAAATTTTTCTATGCATATTTCCAGATATTTTAAAAAGTATATTTATATTTGTTGAAAAGACAGCCTTTGGAGAGGTTTCACAGAAAACATGAAAACTAAATGAATGAAAATTTTACTGGCATTCATGACACTATTGGTGCCAAAATCTGAAGTTCACTAAATGGAAGCCAGTCTGTTGTTATATCTACAATTGTTTGACTGGAAATGTGTGTCATAAATTGGAATAGGGATGAAATGCTAGGAAGGAGAGATCACAACAGAGAAAGCAGACACCAGGGTTTCCAGTTTTCAAAGTTGTACCTTAAAGGATTCTAATGTGATTCTGAACAGTTTTTTCACACACACGGAATATATCAGTGTACTACAGATGAGGTGAAAATCAACTGGGTGTCAGGAAAGAGAAGGAAGCTAAAGGCACGAAGGTGCAGGGAGGAGGAGAATGAGAGAGAAAAGAATGCAAGGGGAAATTTCCAAACCTTATGGGTTTTAAGATTTATGCACTGAATAACTCTTTAGAGATGACCATAGCAACACCACAGGGAGACAAGGAGACAACTTCCCTAACTTCTGTAAGAGAGTCAGTGCTCAAAAAATAAAGAACTTAACTACACCAATTAAGTTAATCCTACAGTTGAGGGTTTTACCCAGGCTGTATGTTTCCTGAGTTTTATAGCTTCCTAGAAAAAAAGAGGCTCAGAGTAAGTCATAAAATTTTCAGAAAAAAACATCAAGTTGATGCTGATCAACTGATCAGAACTGATTTTCATTCACCATTGCCATTGTTTATCCAAATTGTGCAATGTGTGGGGGAAAAAAATCATTTTCATAGTGAAATTAACTAGAGCTAAAGAAAAAACAAATAATGCATAGTGTAGTTATGTGTCTTGTACATGTATGTATGTTGCTACCAAATTTAATTACACATGGTTGGATTTTATAGCTTAATTGATAAAAATGAAAGTTTCTTTAATGCAAGAGAACTAATTGATAAAGCATGGATACAAAAACTTTGTACTGCTTTCAAAACTTTCAACAAATGTGATGTCACAGAAATACTCTGAATTGTGAAAATATAGCAAGCTTACAAGATTCAACACATATATACAGGAAAACTAGAATAAATATAAAATAGAAAGCATATAGCTTTTTGTCTGTGTTCCATTTCTATAGTTCACAGGATCTGCATTTAAGACTAAGTTTATTTTAATTAGGTCAATCTCTCAAACTTCTGCAGTCAGTAAAGGCAAACCGAGATGCCTTTACATGAGATCAGGATTCAGAGTAGGAACTCCACCTCTTTGTACATAAGGAACCGCCTATATCGTGGTTAACATCATCAACATAACACTAGCTATGTTATACTTACATTACCCTCAGATAAATAGCCTAAAGTCCTCACACCTGCTCAACTCATATTAACATGACTGTACTGCTTGTAATTATCCTTCTGATTCTCACTTTTGACAGAAGCAGTGAGACAATACATATGCATGCAAAGATGGAGTTAGGAAAGCTAAAGTTCGGCTGGAGTTAAAAGTAGCAAAGAAGGTGAAGAGCAGCAAGAAAAGCTTTCTGAAAGCACACTGGAAGCAAATGGAAGACTAATGGAATTCATGTGCACCCACCACTTGCAAAGCCCCAAACTCACTCAGTAAGTTTCTTAAAGGGGGCTCAGGTACTCCCTGAGGCAGGTGCAAGGGAGAATGTGACTCAGGAGGTTAAAAAACAAACTTTTTACTGGCAAACTTTAGAAAATAAGGGTACTTGGCAAATTCTAAAGCAATATTCAATCAAAATAAAGTATTTCACAAAACATTGACTTAATAAACTCTAACCCACTTAACTTCAAGTTACCCAGATTTTGAGAAGAGGAAAATAGGAGAAGGACAGAGATAAGAGAAAGATGTAGCTACTGTCTTGGTTCCAGTGTGGTCTCAGCTGCTATAAAATCCAAGACAACATGGACATTACACATGTAGACTTGCACAATTGCTTTTATCTGCTCTGGTCTCTTGGGGCCCTCCCCTCAGGTGGGATTTTCAGTGTGCCAGTGGCTATTAGCCATTCTGGGCTGGACTAGAGGCTCCAGGGGAGGGCTGTGGAGCAGTGCACCATCCCACTCACATAGAACTTGCCCTGCCCTACCCCACCACCCTCACTTTAGTTGTTTTGAGCCAGTGATCATTTTCTGCAGTCTCTCACACTGTTCAACTGACTGTAGTACTTAAAACTGAGGCAAAGAAAGCACTGAGTACCTCAATCTCACCTGTGTCCTTTGTCACTGGGTCCACCAGCAATAACCAGCCTGTGGTGGTGAACTGACTCAATACACAGACAAAAACTGCAGTTCACTAAACACTTTCTCTTTCATTTTTTAAATAATGGAAACAGATTATATGTCTATTCTCGCAACACATTCAGTATGATTTATCAAAACAATAGTGAAGAATACTTAGAATTAGCTTTGTCTAGTAGCACTCCCCCTTTCCTTGCATGCATTTAGAAGAAAATCATTGCTTAAATGGGGGATTGAGCACATACATTCCTTCGATAGTAGCTCATCTTCTGGATTAGAACCTATTGCAGAAAGAAATAGAAGATTTTTGCACTGTTTGCTGGACATGTATGCTGTAATGCATGTCTGATGCAGACTTCTAGAATCTCAGTGTAATCCACTTTCCTTGCATCAATATATTTCATAGGTATGAAATAAATTTCCTGGTTTGTCCATTTGAAATTACAGTTAATTAAAGTTAATGGTCTGTAATGAAAACTGGTTCTTGCAGCATGAGACCATAAATATGTTTAACTGTAATAAAGAAAACTAAATTTTATAAGACACTTGATTGCCTCCAAGAGCAGGGAAAGGAATTTGACAATCTGAAAGATTATGTTCAGTCCTGTTGTATTCTGATGTTCTTACATTTATTTCAACATTACTAAATTCCTTCCAGTCCATTTTTTATTAAAAAGATGCCCAAGTTGGCATCTATTGTCACAGATGGTGGCCATGCAAGTCTTAAAGCCACTTGAAACCTCATCCTTCCCAGACTTTAATGGTTGGTTGCAACAGACTATTAATGCACTTTGGGGCAGATAAGGTCTAAATGACTGTACTTATCACCACTTACTACTGAAGAGCCAGTATAACCAAGCCTGGAATAGTGTCAATTTTTGGATATCATATTACAGGAAGGAGTTCTAAAAAATAAGAAATTAAATGGAAGAGAGCAGCAGAGATCACACAGTCTCTACTGTATTTTCCACTTTAAGCATAATAAGATTGATTTTGTCAATCTTACGTACAGGATGGTACTCATCTCACTTCTACCACAGGATCGGTACAATTCAAGTATAAATTAGTCATTTTGATCTTCTCCGTATATAAAGGAGAGACATTTCTTCTACCTCCTTTTTAAATTGAGCACCTATATTTTTCCATTGTTTCAAAAAGAATTTTAGCTAATCAGTGATCCAGTGAGATTAAAGCCTACTTTAATGTGTAGAATTTAGCAGCAATATAGAGCACAGAAGGATGATGGAGTCAAGTCCTTACAAGTACAGAT